ATCTTTTTAGAAAAAAAAAAAGTAATCATAAAATATTTATTGCAGGCAACTCAGGGATTTGTAAATTAACTGGATATTAGGAAGTTATTGTTAATTTTCTTAGATGTGAAATCATACTGGAGTTATGTAAGAGAATGACCTTGTTTTTAGGAGACAGTGCTGGAATATTTAGGGGTAAAGTTTCATGAAAAACATATGAAAACCATTAGCAAGTGATAAATCTGAAATGGCAAACTCTGTATTTCTGGTAGCAACTCAAATCTTAGTTGAGTTCTTTTTTCTTTAGCTGGAACCAGTCCCACACATGCATGGTACGGGGACCAGCCAGAGAATTTGGAAGAGTTTATAAATAGAATTTTGGGCTCCCTCTGTCTGGCTCTTTCTTGTCTAGGATTCTCTTCTCACTTTCCAGTGGCCGTGGTATGCTCCAAATTCTATTTTCTGATTCTTCAGGCAAAAAACCTATGGGTTTTCTCTCTTACATGAGATTTCTTACTGGCATAAGCCCTGAAAACAGCAACTCACTCTGCTATTTTCATTTTTTAAAAAAAATTAAACCATCTTAACTATCTTTAAGTGTACAGTTCAGTTGTGCTAAGGAAATTCATGTTACTGTGCAACAGATCTCCAGAACTTTTTTCATTTTGCAAAACTGTAACTCTGACCTGTTGAACAACAGCTCCCCATCTTTCTTTTCCTCAGCCCCTGGCAACCACCATTCCACTTTGTTTCAATGAAATTGACTGTTTTACATACCTAGTATAAGTGGGATCATACAGTATTTGTCTCTTTGTGACTGACTTGTTTCACTTAACATAATGTCTTCAAGGTTTATCCATGTTGTAGCCTGTGACAGGATTTCCTTCATTTTTAAGGTTGAATAATATCCCATTGTATGGACTTTACAAAAAAGTGCATACCACTTTTTCTTTATTCATTCATTCATTGATAGACACTTAGGTTGCTTCCACCTTTTGGCTCTTGTGAATAATGCTGCTGTAAACATGGGTGGTATACACATAATTATCATATTTAAACCTCAGTTCCCTTTCGAATCTTTTTGCTTTAATTAACTTTCCTTTTCTTTTTACTTTTTCTTCTGTTTGTTAATTTTATTGGAATTTATAGTCATCTGTTGGAGGATTGTGTCCAATAGAAGCTTACTTGGCAATACTGGAATTGGAGTTATTAGTAAAATAGGATTTTAACAAAGATTGAGCCATATGTTATTTATAATAGCATAATAAAATAATCATTCAAAGAAAAACTGAATTAAAAAGATAAGAATATAGCAGGAATATAAAAACAAAAAGATTGGAGTGCCATTATTATCAGATAAAGATGAATTCAAGGTTAAAAGTATTAACTAGGTAAAAGAGGTGTACGTAGTGAAAAATGGTAAAATCCATGGAGAAAATATTATAGTCATGAATACTTATGTATCATACTGCATGACAGTCAAGTATGTAATTCAGAAACTCTTAGAAACACAGTGAGAACGTATTAAAAACACATCTTTCAATAAACACATCTTTTCAATAAATTGTGCTTATTATGTTTTAGGCACTATTTTAAGCACACACGCAAATATAATCAGCAAACTTAATTGAATAGATATGTATAGGATATACACATGAATACACATATATAAGTAGATATTAACAGAATGTATTTTTCTGTTATTAAACAATTTCCAAAGTTGTCACACACTGGTCACAAAGAAAACCTTCATAAATCTCAAAATAAAATGATTTTACAGACTGCATTCTTATCCCAAATATAGAATTATAATCTGAAAGAGCATTATAAAAACTTAAGACACAAATATACACCATTTCAAATAACCTTGCATCCAAGGGAATATAAAACTGAAATTATAAATTAGTAACAAAAAAGAGATTATTTCATACTCAACCCACAATATACAGTTAAAGCTGTATAAAGAAAACTGACGACTTTTACTCATAATTTACAAAGAGAGGTAAAAAATTAGCAAAATAAATATTTAACTTAAAAATTAGGAAATGAAAAACAAAATGAAAAGGTAGGCAGTATAAACCAATAAAAAGAAAAGCTAAATTCAATTAGATACAAAAGAGAAAGTGTGTGTCTGCGTGCATGTATATATGTGTACATATATAATTTACATATAAATGTAACAAAGTTTATACAGTCGTGCACTACTTAATGGGGATACAATCTAAAAAATATGTAATTAGGCGATTTTGTCTGTGTGAAAATCATAGAATGTACTTACACAAATCTAGATGGTGTAGCCTACTATACATCTAGGCTATATGGTATAGCCTATGGCTCCTATGTCAGTAATGTGCTATGCTACCATGTTGCAATGGCTATGATATCACTGGGGTATAGGAGTTTTTCAGCTCCATTGTATATGTTTCCAGCATCATATATGTAGTTTATTGTTTACTGAAACATCATTATTTGGTGCATGACTGTATATATAAATTATATAGAGAATATAATCTGAACAGGCAAATGAAGTAGGTAAAAACCCTGACCACGTGATATGTTACTTAGGACCCTTTCAGTTGTACCTAGATCTATTTCAGTTATAAATACAGAGAGAAAAATTCTAAATAAAATATTAACAGATTATATTTGGCATTGAATTAAAGATAATAAATACACCATAATCAAAGCAGAATTTATTCTATCAACATAATTCATTACATAAACTGATAAATGGAGGAAAGCCATATGATTGCATCCATAAATACCAAAAAGATATTTGATATTTGATAGAATTCATCAGCTATTCCTAGTTAAAATAAAAATGGATTAAAATATAAATAAAAGGAAACTGCTTAAATATGATTAAAACTAATCATCAAAAAGTAACCATAAGTATTATAATGAACTATGAAATATTGAGACATTTCTATTAAAATTAGAAGCAAGGTGGGCATGCCTGTTATCACCCTATTATTAGGCATTGTTGTAGAAGCTGTAGTTATTGCATAATGTAATTAGATGAAATGTCTCATATTTATAGTATATTTAAAATTTAAAAGTTATCTTTATTTGCATATGTTGTAATTGTATGCCTAGAAATCTCAAGAAACACCTATGAAATTCATTAGAAATAATAACATAGTTTATTAAGTTTCTGGATAAAAGAAAAATATATGAAAATTAGTAGCCTTTATTTATGTCAACAATAACAAGTAGTAAGTTAAAATGTAAAAAAAAAAATTCACTCACGGTAGTGATAAAAATCTATAAAATGTTTAGGAATAAATTTATCAAGAAACTTATGGGCCTATGTGAAGAACATAATTTAATTTTATTTTGGAAGACACTAACAGATACTGAAGCAATAGATCTAAATGTTCTGGATAGAATGACTTAACAGTAAATCATGAAAATGTTCTAAATTAATAAATGTATTTAGTGAATTTCAATTAAAATCTTATTTTTAAGCTTTTAAATTAGGAAAAATGACCTTAAATTTATTGGAATAATAAATGTCTGGGAAGAGTCAAGAAAATTTTGAAAAAGAAGACTATAGCAACTCGCATTTCTGAATATTAAAATTTGTGTTAAAAGTTACAATGATAAAAGTGGAATATTGCCAAGGGAACTGATACATCAATGTTATATTTATGTATTTATATATAGAGTAGGGCAGTAACAGATTCAAATATGTATATAAAACTTAACAAATGGCAAAAATAACATCTTAATTCAATGGGGATGGGAAATGATTTATAAATGGTACAGGTATAATTTGTCAACTATCTAGAAGAAAACAAATTTAGACCCCTTCTTTACATCATATATGCAAAAATAAATTCCAGATGGATTAAAGCTCTAGACATTAATAACCAATATAAAGTAATAGAAATACATTTTAGAGAATGAGTTGAATAACTTTGTATGAAATGCTAAAAACTAAAAAAAATTGTAAAAATTATAGACCAGAAAAAACATATGTAACATATGATAAAGGCTAATATTCCTATTAGCCCTTTAAAGAACCTCTAAAAATTGATAATAAGAGGCAAACAATTCAAGTAAAAATATACAAACCATCTGAACAGGAAAGGTTTAAGTGGCTAAAAACTCATGAAAAAATGCCGTTCCTTTCCAGTTATTAGAAACATGTAAAATAAAAATGAAATTCCATTTTCTCCTTAATATATAGGCAAAGATTAAAGAGAGCAATCATTGTCATTGGTTATGAGGGCAAAGGAAAAGGTGACATTCGCATATTACTGTGGGAATATGAATTGCTGTAACATTTTTGGAAAGAAACCTAATTTTAAAAACCCCACCATTTTATTCAGTTTAGTATAGTGTTGTTTTGTAGAGGCATAACTGTGTGGAGATTCTGAACATCCATCAATTGGAAATTGTTTGGTAAATTATTTAATATTAAGCAGATGTTGAAAATAGTAAGTTAGAACTGTATGAATTAACCTGGACAAATGTCCATGATATATTAAGTTAAAAATCAAGTTGTGCATAGTGTGTTCTCATTTGTTTTTTAAAAAAGTAGAAAGATAAAAATAACAATAACAACTGAACCCCCTCCCCTCCATAGCTTCTATGTATGCATTAAGATAGAGTTAAGTACATATCACATTTTAAATATTGATTATCATAGGAGGGTGATACTGGAGAGTGTATGATGTGTGGCTTAATTTGTTCCCAGGAGCTTGAAGTGCCTTTGAAATAAAAATAACCTGGTATTTCAAAAGTCTGGGAACTAATTCATAAGTTAAAAGTGCATAAAATGGGAGGTGTAGACCCAGCCCTGCCCCTAACTAGCAATGTGACATTTTCTGCCTTTATATTCATGTCTGTAAAGTGTGGGTGGTAATGACTGTCCTACCTACTTATTAGGTTACAGTGTTGTTATGAAGATAAAATGAAGGATGAAGGCAAATATTATTTGAATAGTTAAAAGATATTGAAATGCAAGCTGTTATCCTCAAGAAAATTATTAAACATTCTCAATTTATATGCTGCAGGTGACAAAATCGCCTGACGAAGCATCTTCCCTTCCCAATGGTGATCTGATGGGAGAGGCACAGAGCTCTGCAGAGGTAAGGGCTGGTATCCTGGACCATCTTCTTCCCTACCAGTGTCCTCAGAATGTCTGCTGGATCCTCATCTCTCTCCATCTGTCTGTGTGTCTGTCTGTCTGCCTGTCTCTCTTATCTATCCATCTATCTACCTATCTTCTATCTTTTTACTCTCTAAAATTATAAAACCTCCCTCCATACAAGTAATAAAAAACAAACACTGTGTAAATATCAAATTCTTTGAAGTTCTCTTCGTAAGCCATAAGTGGGTGAATTGAAACTCTTCACTCAGACAGTTTATTACTGTACCATGCGCATCAGTCAGATCTTTTGATTTATACCAGTAGATCCAACCAGCAGTTTTGGGGTCTGACAATCCTATGCTCTAGAAGCTAAGTGATCTAATTAATAGGAGGTCTATGTTTGCTTCGTCTAAATACTGTGTACCTAAATAAGAAAGCTACAGCATGTGTGGCCTGGTTTCTCCTTGAGAGTGTACTTAAGGTTGGTGATGCCCTGGCTCTCCTTTATGACCAGGGGACAGAGAAGGCTGAAGAAGGAGGAGATGAAGATGCGGGCAGCCTCTCTGAATCCCAAGAGAAGAATGTAAGTATCTGCTTTTTTCACAGTGGTTTCACTGGATTCAGTTCTGTTTATCAAACACTTAACTGGGCACATAGCAGTGAGAAAGAAAGTGAGCTGAGATCTAGCCGGGGAGGAAGTGGATAGTTTCCATGAATGTGTTAGCTGCTGTGGCCCAGGTGCCCAGGGCCCAGGGATAGAAGGAAGCAAGGATGGTCCCTGAGCCCAGCCTGGAGCGAAATGGCTAGACAAGGCTTTGGTGGTTTGTTGTGTTATGATTAGGTTAGTTTCATGTTCTTGATCAAACAAAGGACCTTACTGCTTGGTCATGCCTAATGACAGACTCTTAGCATATACCCACCCTTGAGCCCTGCCTGTGGGGGAAGCGGAACCAAGGGGTTGGACTGTATTTGTGGGAAGCCACCAGAACTGGAGGGTAACACGGGGGCCATGGGGAGGGAAACTGACACTCAATTCAAGTCCAGTCAGGAGAATGGCAGATCCCAGTGAAGGTGTGTCATTGAACTCTAAAGGGGTCCCATTCAGGGGCATCAGCATAAGGAGTGGAGGTTGGGGGAGGGAGACTGGTTCTGTAAGCGCCAAGCTGAGATAATGGGGGATCAAATGGGCCACTTATTCAAGGAATTCTGAAAATGTGGCTGAGAAGCCAGGCAAGGGGAGGCCCTGGCTGCAGAGGGAGTCTGGCATAGCTGGGGGTGGGATGCAGGCATCTGGCCAAGCCTCCCTGTGGGAGAATTTTAGTGGGCTTCTCCACTGGGCCAGTTGTAGCAAATCCTGATGGTTTGCTTTTTATATATTTATTAATTCCACGGGAGGTGTGGACAGCTTTTAAGAGAGTTGGACCCTCATTCCCAGCAAATAGAATGTGTCCAGGAAGGGGCCAAGACAGACAACCAAATTGTGGAAAGGGTTTAGGGGCTAGGGGACTGGGCAGCAATTTGTATCTGAAGGAATTTAAACTTGGGCGGAGCTGGGGCAGTATGTTCCCTCATATTTAGATTCATATTTGAAATAGACTGCTATTTCAAAATGTTGATAATTTATGGCTCTTAAGTGTTTTGTTCAAAGAAAGGCAAAATTTTCAATCTTGACCTAGACATTCATGGCAGACTGTATAATTCAAAAATAATACCTTAAACATCAAATAGTATGACAGTTTCATTATCTCATAATTTTAAGAAATCTGTGTTTTACAGTTTGAACTTTGCATGAATTGCCTAATGCACTCTAACAGTATTATTGATTGATGCTTTAGTTTGCTTCTTTTAAGACACAGAGACAAAGATGAAAAACATCCATCCAAACCCCTTTCTCCCATAAGACCAGAAGAAAGGTGGTGTTTTCGTAATCAGATTTTGCGTCCTACAGCCAGGGCAGGCTTGTGTCAACGTCTCAGCACTAGGCTGGATTAGTTTTATGGAGTGATGAGTTGTCCAGCTCGGGGAGTTCTCTTTGTTACTGCTTTTTAAAATTGTGAGCCCTTGACAAAGTAAATTATGATCTTCTCAATCCTGATAAGAATGAAAAAAATACCATCTTTGTTATTTTTGCATGGGCTATGATGCAGAAATGTAAGTAAAAGATATTTTTATTTTAGATGAATATATTATTAACATGTGATGGAGTTTGGATGTGTTGTCCCCTCCAAAACTCATGTGGAAATTTGACCTCCAGTGTGGCAGTGTTGGAAACTGATTGAGTCATGGGGGCAGATCCCTCATGAATGGATTAATACTCTCCCTGGGGGAGGGGGGGTCGTGAGTGAGTTCTTGGTCTATTAGTTCCTGCGAGAACTCGTTGCTTAAAAAGACCCTGGCGACCTCCTCTCTCTCTTGCTTCCTCTCTCTCGCTTCCTCTTGCCATGTGATCTGCTTGTACCTGCTGGCTGTCTGCTGCTTTCCACCATGAGTAGAAGCAGCCTGAGGCCAATGCCAGATGCAGCCGTCCCAGAATCGTAAGACAAATAAACCTCTTTTCCTTATGAATTACCCAGTCTCAGGCAGTTCTGTTATAGCAACACTAAATGGACTAAAACAACATGTTATCAAATTCACTTTTCAACTCTTTAATAATATTTATTCTATATAAAGACAGATTCTGACATTTTCCCATTTGGCAAGTGGCACATGCTCTTTGACTTCCTTTAATACAATTAAATAAGAAAAAAACCCCAGGATTTGTCAATAAACAGATGAAAAATCATATAATAACATAATTAACTTTCATGAAAACAGACTGAAATTTAAAATTCAAAGAGGAGACAAAAATTATCTGGTATTTAGAATTCTTTCATTTTGTGCTTAAAAAACCAACTGGATTGTTCTTATGATAGAGAGAGGAGGACTGTCCTGGGCTGTTTGCGGTGGTATATTTCCTGACAGTGCACCCAGGCTTAGACAGGCTGATGTGTAATCTGCAGAAAGACAAGTTAGAGCTCTGTATATTTTGAACACTGATTTTCTTTTTTAGTTATTTTATGAAAATAATTGATTGTTCGTATTTGTGGGGTGCCGTGTTGAATATCAATACCCGTGTGCAATATGTGATGCTCAAAGCAGGATAAATAGTATATTCAACATTACACAATGTAATCATTTTTCGTGGCCCTTTACGAATTTCTTGCTAAGTTGCCCTCCCCCGCCCCCTTTTCCACCTCTGGTAACCTCAGTTCTGTTCTCTCCTTTCGAAAGTATTTTGAACATTGATTTTCAAAGTACTAGACACATCCTGGTAGTTTCATCTCGATATTAACACTCAGAGAAATACAAAGCTTTTTAGATAAAAACTCCGGCTCTGTTGAAAACTGTCTCTAGGCGATTTCATGGATTTGCTCCTCCTGACTCGTAGTTAAACAAGAGTTTCCTTCCTTAACCAACACTCTATGATGGATATAAAGTATAGAATATTATTTATTTCTCTAAGTGTCCCTGTATCATCTTTGTGCCCCCGCCTCATGGCTGGCAGGCAAGCCAAGCTGGATGAAGTGTTTTGGAGACCCCTTCCTCCCTAGGGTCCTGCAGTCATGCTGGAGTCATCAGTGGTGAGCGGACAAGGAGAGGGCACTGGTTCTTTGTCCACAGTGGTCTGCTCCCTGTTCAGACCCATTGGCATGGGTCAGGCCCTCTGCTCTGGTGCCAATCCTGGAAAATCTACCTGCTTCTTCCGTTTTCTGTTCAGCCTGGCTGCTCCAGTCTTGCCAACTGCAAGCCGTAAACCCCAAACTCTCTTTTTCAGGGACCACCTAGCTTCATCGCCAGGGTTTTGAAAGCCAAGGCCTATAGTTTCTTCTCTGGGGGTGGAGAGCCAAAACAAGTAGGTAGAGGGTGGAGAGAGAGAATAGCTCTTCCTTCCCTTCCCAGTTTTGTGTAGTAGAGAGAACAAAACATGAATTCATGTCCTAGTTTTCAGCCACACTTGTTATGAGAAGGAATAAAGACATTTTTAAACATTTTATTGTGAGATGATTATAGATTCACAGTAAGGTGTAAAACTAATGGAGTCCTGTGTGCCCATCATCCAGCTTCCCCCAATGGTGACATCTCATCTGGCCACAGTATGATATCAAAACTAGATGTGTAACATTGGTGCATTTCTGCTAAGTAGACTTACAGACCTTATGCAGTTTTTACCATTTTTTTAAAAACTGCATTCATTTGTGTGTTAAAAACAACTTCAAAGTGGGCAATGGTGTGAAAAAAACAGACCCCACTCCAGCAGCTGGCAGTGTTAAGCTGAGTGATGAAACACATAAGTGGCTAAGTCGGGGACATGCTCATCTGATCTCTACTATTACACATGCACACTTGACACACACTTGGAAACACAACCTGTTCCATTTAATGGAGAGGAATATTTACCGAAGTATTTTACAATGATCAAAAAAACCCCAAGAAACTAAAAAACAACATATAAATGGAAATAGAAACCATTCTCTCCTTTAATGATATGGACTTCCTCTGACCACTTTCCCAACCTCCGGGGTTCTTAAACACAAGATGCCAAGATGTATATTTCCAACTTGATAAAAGACTGGGGCAGCATTGAGAGGTCAGGAAGGTGGACACTGAAAAGACCATTACTTCATGCCTGGGAAGATTTTACATGTAAATTGAGGTAAGTTACAGGTAACTTAAAGGTAAGGAAGGTCTTACCTATAACTTTAGTAAAAAGGGGACCTTATAGAGCCTGACCTGATGACCCAGGGTAGGTAGAGGGCTAAGAAGGAGAGGGGAGGTTTGTGACTGGTCCCCTTAGGAGGAAAGCAGAAGGCATCTCAGCTCCTGGGCATTTTCCAAGAAAGAAATTGCAGAACAGGGACATCACAAGAACTTTATAAAATGCTGGAAACACAACTTGTTTGTGTTTGATTTTTTATCAGGGTAAAATTATTTACTAGCAAGATAAAATTCTTTTAAATTGTATGCTTTGCCAACCCACTCATTATATCTGAAAGCCTTTAAGACTTTGGCTTGACTGCCTACATGATCAGGGTATGAAAATCACCCCTCTTGGCTTCCTCTAACACCAATCTTGAGGAAAGTTGCTTTTTCAAGAGGCAGATGTTGGTATAGGTTCCCGAGGAGCTCACAGGTGTAAGGCCGGGTTCCTGGAGTGCCCAAGATTGAGAGAACTCTGCTCCTGCCTTTGCTCTCCAGCCACTCTGAGACCAGCTGCCCTCTCAGGTCACACTGGGCTGGCCCTTGACTTCTTCCACACCAGCCACCTGTTCTCACTGACACAGCCTGACACTCACCACCACTGACACTTGTTTTTGTTTCTGGCCATGTGCCATGTCAGCAGCCTGCGTCCCTGGCCAAGTTCTCAACAAAAATAGCTGCTGTGGGAGGTTCTAAGACTCCCCACTTCTGGCATTCTCTGAACAACAGCAAGGTGAAATTATTTTAAGTGGTATGCTTCTTCAGGTTAATTGTTCATACCATCCTAAGATCTTGTGAGAGCTTGTCTTAATTGACCAGGTGATTATAATTATCTTTAAAAAAATGCTGTTGACAGTACAATTACTTGCTTACCATACAGGCCAATTCAAACATTGTACATAAACATTTATCTGCCTAATTCTGATATTTTATAATTCTTCGAGCTAAGTTTAGAAGTTTTTTTCTTTTTGTCTTTTTTTTTTTTTTTTGTGACCGGTAAGGGGATCGCAACCCTTGGCTTGGTGTCACCCACACCGCACTCAGCCAGTGAGCACACTGGTCATCCCTATATAGGATCTGAACCCGTGGCGGGAGCGCCGCTGCGCTCCCAGCGCTGCACTCTCCTGAGTGCGCCACGGGGTCGGCCCAGAAGTTTATTTTAAAAATTAATATATTCCACCTTATCTTAAGAGGAATTTGAAATAGGAGTAGCATTACATGAATGCATTTATTCAACATTTCATGGACTGAGTGCTGCCACATGCCAGGCAGAATTCCAGGGACTGGAGAGGGATGAGGAACATGACAAAGCCCCTGCTCCCACAGAGAATGCTGGTGCTGATAGTATCCAAAGTCCTTCAGAGCTTACCTGACCTTTTGAGGCTAAGAATTTTCTATAAATTCTCTGAGTAATTATTTTCTTTATTTAACATATATTTCAAGAAATTAGGGTCAATTTAAATATTGATAAAGAGTGCAAAGTCCCTCTGTAATTATTGTTAGCTAATGTGTAAAAGTTGAGACATATTCCAAAGACTCCCTCCTGCCCTCTGGGTTAGCTGTAAGAATGACCCATTGTAAATAGTGTGGATCTTGTTAATTCATTTGTTTCAGCTGGATACAGTTCATAAAAATAATTGGATTCAGAAGAATGTCAAACTCTACACAATCAATAATTCTATGTGGCATATGGTGAATTTTAATTGGATCCTGTTGGGAAAATATAGGAAAATGGTCAGGGCCCCTCAGATGTTCAGAATCTTGCCGAGCATTTGATGTAAATATGGACATGCACCCAGGTGTTCCTTGGTTATTGTCTAATTGTGCATGTGCACCCACGTGTCCTGGGTTATGGACATAAGTATAAAGGATGAGTGGCTCTGATCCAGGGCACCCCCCTGCCACCCTCGGGATGCTGGAGGCTGCTGCTGCAAGCTGCTGTTGCAAGCTGCTGTTGCAAGTTGCTGCTGCCAGTGCCCCCAGGACCCTCAGAGAAGCTGCTGCCGCTGCTGCTGCCGTTGCTGAGGACTGAGCTTGTGTTGTCTGCCAACGGGTCCTGGGACCTTTCCCAATTACCTATCATGGACCTGCATGTGAGGGGTCTGGTGACCCAGTCTGTACAATGGGTTTGAAAGGTCTGAGCCCTAGCCCTGACAGTACAAATGGAAACTTAGTATAACTAAAATAACGAAACATTTTTGGTGATTTGCCTTACTCAACAACTGGCGTAGTCGTATAGCTTTACAGATCCCATGTGGATAAGAAGAAAATTAATGTTTTGAGATCCAAAAAGTTAATAACAGACAATATGTGTCACTTAAAACATATTTATTGTGCTTACACCTTGGTTTTGGGCAGTGCTAGGTCCTGGAGATCATTCCCCCAAGGGGCACATGGACTAGTCAGGGAGACAGATAAGTAGATGATGTTGTGAGAGCAAATAAAAAGGTGCCCTAACTCTACTTTATGGGTTAGGAGAGTCTTCCTTGGAAACATTTTGAGCAGTATCCTGGAAGGTGTGGCTGATGGGAGAAAATTGCATGTGATTCAGTGTGGCTGAAACACTGCAAAGAGTGGTAAGGGATGAGGCTATACAGGAGTAAGCAGGGGCCAGATTTTTTTTTTTTTTTTTTTTTTGGCCATCCTAAGGAGTATAGACTTATCTTGAGAAGATTGAAGTTTCTAAACCTGAGGGTAACATAGTAAGGTTTATTGTCTTTTGGAGTGGTATCTCTGGCCACAGTGTGGAGAATAGACTGGAGATGAGGAAGGCTAGGCGGGTGATGATCAGTCCTTAGGGGAGGGACAGGACATGGGCAGGGTTAGGCAGTAATTAAGAGGTACAATCAACACAGCCCTGTGGAAGCTGCACCTGGATTTTGCAACACATGCTGGACCCTCTTTTCCTGGACATTATTTTAGCACTAAAACTTAGCGTGTCACCAGTGGTGTTTAATGTAAACATTAGATTGGAGATTCCCAGCTCTGAAAAAAAACCTGTTGGCTTGACTCAGACCTGGCCGGCTCTGTCAAGTGTTTATGTTCTGTGCCAGTCTCAGAAATCAGAAGGTAGTGTTCTGGGACTGGCCAAAAATGTGAAGCGGGGCCAGTGGATGCGGGAGCGTGTTGGATTCTCTGTAACTTGCCTTCTGTGATTTTGCTTTTTTGGTTATTAATCTGAGAGGCAGCCTGGTGGAACAGGAGGAACACTAAAATTAGGAATCTGGAGACTCAGAGTGAGTCCTGATTGTGCCGATGGCTTGTCCTGTGATTTTGGCAAATTACTTACCTGTGTGGTCTCAATGTCTCATCTGTCCAAAGGAGTGACTGGGTGAGAGGGCACACGTCACTGCAAGATTGCTTTTAACACCCCACCCCCAGTCCAAGATTTTAGGAGCTCACTGCCTGAGTTGTAAAGCAGGCATTAGGAATTTTTAGCGTCTGCTCTTAAAAACCATATCTCTCTACTTAGTTAAGTCAACTGTAGCACTCTGGCCCCAGGGAGGTGTATCATAGGGCCATTTTGGGAAGGGATGGAAGAGCTTTTATTTCTTAGAGTTGCGTTTTTAGAAGATGTAACCTGATTCTGTTATTTTGATCTGAGGGAAATAGAAATTCCAGTGTGTTGGCAGCTCACATGGTGGAGACCTGTCTGAGTCTTCTGTGACCTCACCCTGTCTTACCTTGCAAGTTTCTTTCTATAACCAGAATTAGCGTTTAAATACCATGAGTAGTATGGTTCAGAAATGTTATCATTTTGTCCTGATAGAGGAAAAGTTCTTGATTCACTTACTTTTATAAATTGGTTCAAAGCTGCATACTTATAAGGATGTAAAGGTAGAAAAGATTTTTGTTAAAATTTTTTAATTACTTGCATATGTAGTCTGAATTTTACTAGACAGTGTTATAGATCTTTGGTATGCTTTGGATATAGACATGGAATTTTACATATTATTAAGCCATATTACTAATTAAATACATTTTCTCAGGAATATGAGTGATGGAAAAAATGTCTTTAATCTTTTTTTTTTTTTTTTTTTTTTTTTTTTTTTTTTTTTTGTCCCG